TTCCATGGACATGCAGACTTGGCAAGATATCATTGACACATTTGAGATCGAGGAGCCGATGATCACCCATCGGAAAGAAGCAACAGCGCAAGGTCCCGGTGCCAGGGGATGGTACAGTTAGAAGAAGACAATACGGCGTATTTGGCGTTTCGGCATAGCATCTTAGTTCATCGTTCACTGGTGCTGGACGATAAATAGAATACCAGGTCAAAATGTTGCAATGGAGTTTTATGGGAGGTATCACAGAACGGAGGATTGGAGGAATATTCCCAAGGACGCCAGTATGGGGGAGTTGTTTGACCTACCTAGCAATGAATCAATGGGGCAACTGACGCCCTCCGCAGCATCACTCTCTGGACCCTCCCCGACTTGCCGAAACTTCAGAACGGGCTTGCATACTATGTGTCATGTCATAAGGTAAGGTACGAAAAGGTCAGTGAGGTGAAGACGAGGTAGGGAAATTGGCCACAAAGACAGTCCAAGATTCCAAGGGATGTGCACGTCCGCAAGTCTTTGACCGACTCCAGAGTACTCATTGTTGGTCTACGCTCCCTTATTCGGCATTGAGCCTTTGACTTGTTATTTTCAGATTCGGGTTTGGAAGCTTTGTTGAGAGTTGAATGGAAGTTGCACTGGGAACAGGGCAGTCAGGTACGCAAACGGAGGCATTTTCGTCTCCCTCGATTTGGGGAAATCTACCCCTGGCTAGAGGTGGATTCTTTCAACAAGTCAATCGAATTACTCCGAGTATCCTTCCTACTTCGGAGCTTCTTGGGGCCAAGTCGATGTTCGAAGTTCTGAAAACAAGCTACGGCATAAGTACAGCATGACCACACGGATCAAAGACCTTCGAGCAGCTTTTGTTATTTCATTTCCCTTCTTATCTTTCTCTATCTTGTTTTCCCTTGCTATTATACAACCCAGATCATACGAGGGAAATTGTAAGTACACCTTGCTTGGGAGCTGACATACTTTGTATCGAGAGATATGGCTGGGGAGAAGGGCGATGAGGTTCCAGAGAAGGAGGTTACCCTAGGCCGAAAAAGCTCTCGGGAAGAACCTCCAACTACAACAGCATCTGGGAAAGATGAGCTAGGTGTGCGGACTTTGTTGGACCAGGGCTTCGAACAGCCTCCAGCAAATGAAGAGCAACGGAGGAATGGAAGCAAGGCGTCCATATCATCAGCGCCTCATGATGACTCGTCAAGCACAGTAAATCCTTCTAGATTCTCCTGGGCCGCCATGGCTGGGAAGGGTGCCACTGGAGCGAAGTTGGATATGCGGAGCGTGGCAAGCCCTTCGCGAGATGATCTCCCAACAACAGCTACGCCCGTATCAGCCATACATGACGTATCCTCTGGTCGTCCCGCTGGTGAAGCAGAGCTTCCGGTCAGTCGAGATCGAGACCGACCAGTGCCGTCAGATTCAGCCTCCGCGAGCTCAAGCGTCTCCTGGCAAAATGTTTCAGTTTCCAGGGGCAGACGTCGCAAACCCGACGTTTCCAAGGGCACTGTGCCCGTTCAGCAGACAAGGCAGACAAGGCAAACAAGCCGGCAGAAAAGTCCGGTCCCAACCACCTCTGAGTCGACTCCGCTGGACCAAGAAGGCGAGGAGACTCAACTGAGAAATCCAGCGCCAAATTCGGACCTAATTGAGTCGACTGAGTCGAAAAGGCTTGAGGACGTGAGAAGTTATTTGAGAGGCCTCGCGGAATCACACGGCATTCTTCATCTAGTCAACAAGGAGCCGGTGCCCACAACATGCGAGGAGCTCTTCAAGGATTTTGCCTCAAAGGTCTCCGAAGAATGCAGCACGAGGCACAAGAAACTTCAGGTCGAGGTATCAAAACTCGAGGCATCGACGCAAGCACACGCGCAGCTGGAGGGGGAGAAGACTGCACTTCAAGAGATCGTGGCGAGGCAAATTGACAAACTTGGCGAACTTAGCCCGTCTGAGCAACAGGCACAAGATCTCGAGGTCCAGCTCACCAAGTGTACCAACGAGCGAGACAAACTCAAGTCGGGCCTAGAAGCAAATCAGAATCAGCTCAAAATGGCCCAGAACGAGTGCAACGAGAAGGAGATTGCCCTCCAGCGCCGCACAGCAGAGCTCAATGAAGTTCAATGGCGTATCCAACAAATGGCTCCTCCGGTGAACGAGGAAGAGCTTAAAAACATCATATCTAAGCTCCGTGATCAGCTCAATGCCGAAATATCAGCCAGAGCGGCAGCGGAGCGCAAACTTGAAGACGAAAAGGGTGGGTGGCAGGCGAAGGAGAAGCGGCACGAAGATGACATTTCTTATATGGAAAAGCAGTTGGTGGACCACCAAAAGCAAGTCAAGGAAGTACAAGCCATGGTCGAGAGCCTTCGGAAACAACTAGCGGAGCAGACCAGGAAAGTTTCCCAAGCCCAAATCGAGGTGGAAAACATAACTTTCACCGTCGGCCACGAGAACGTTCCCCTTGCAGAATTCCGTAAACTCGTCGACAATGCGAGGGGTGAGATTTCGGACTTGGAGATCCAATTAGTCCAGGCAGAAGCGGAACGTGATGAGGCACTAAAGCAAGACATTCCCATGGACGATATGCGGGACATCATCGGAGAGATTGTCGGTTTCTACAGCCTCGCCATGGATGATGCCGTGAACAACCTGTACAACAACTGGCGGGAAGAGGAAGCTAGGCTAGCGGACTTGGTGTGTGACGGCAACGACGGCTTCCGCAGATACCCTCATGCCGTCGTGCTTTCCGACGAAAAGCCTTCACAGTCACTATCTGATGATCTGTTCTCGCCTCCCAAGCGGGCTTCTGGGGCTGTAGCTTTGAAATCCGAAGAATCGCAGACCGAGAGCGAGCCTGAAGAGAGGCTTAATCTCGCGAAGGAGCTTGGAGAATTCAATAGCCAGTCCTCCGCGGTAAGCTGAAATGAACCCCTCAAGATTTAATGAAGTTACTCATTGAATTCATAGGAACCGGAAGAGAACCAGGGCAGTCCCAATCGAACGCAACAGACACTCGCGGACGAACTCGACAGACTCGATAGAGTGTCTTCGGCAGTGAGTTCAAGCCCCTCCATTCTTGAGGCGATGCTAATCAGTCTTCAGGGGTCCCAGGGAAGCAAGGTCGACCAAGGGGACGTGTCCCTTGAGCTACGCAATACCAAAACCGCATTGGATGAGTGCCAGCATCATCGTAAGGAAGCCGACAGGGAGATAAAAGACCTCAAAGATGATGCCAAGAAGCTTGTTGATGAGATTACGCGACTGAAAGCAAGCGCTCGGGTGCTGGAGCAGACCATCAAGGAGCACGAATCCAGTGCCGACCGAATGAGGGAAGAATCCAACAGACTATCTGCTATCCAAGCGCCCGACAAACAAGACTCTGAGACCAATCGCAAGGAAGCTGACGAAAAGATCAAGAACCTGGAAGTTACGCTCCAGCAACGAGCAAACGAGCTCAAGAGGTTCCAGAGAAGGGAAGAGTTCTTGTCACAGGTCTCTGAGCAGCTCAAAGGGCAGTTAAGCGCTGTCCACGACAGACTAGGCAAAGCTGAGGCCAAGGCTACGTACGCCTGTGCGCGAGAAAAGCTGGCACAAGAAAAGTTGGCACAAGAGGCTGCCACCGCGGACGGATCGAGCACAAGTTCAAGCTCGATGGACGACCCAGGAGAGCACCTTAAACTTGTGGCCGACCTGATCGACCGCGTGGACAAAGCGGAGAACAACCAGGCAACGGGCCGCAGAGATCTGCAAGAGATCCAACAGATGGTGACAGGCCTCGATGAGGACGCCAAACTTCTTCGGGAGGAAAGAGACAGCCTGGCTCTTGAGAGGGACCAGCTCCAGGAAGAAAAGGTGAAACTGGCCCAACAGAGAGACGCACTGAAGGAGGATCTCAAGACGTACATGGATTCTACGGACGAAGTTGCAGAACAAAACGTCAGACTCCTGGAGCAACTACAAGAAATCGAGCAGGACATGAGGAAGAAGATTGAAGATATCAAACGCAAGGACGAAGAAATCCAACAGAAGGATGAGGAAATACGAGAAAAGGACCTCTTACTCAGGGAAAAGATGGAGGAGTTGAAGGCGAAGCAGAAGGCTCTCAACGACTGCCACGAACACGGCGAGCACCTCAATGCGGAAGTACGCAGGCTTGAAGAGAAGGTGGTCGAATTCCGGAATAAATGGAGCTCTGCAAAACAAAGATACGACAGTGAGCTGAAGAGACGCCTCATAGTGGAACAAGACGGTGTCGATCACCTCGAAAACATGATCAAAGGCAGGCTGGTTGAGAAAGATAAGGAATTGCGAGAAGAGTGGATGGCGGAGCACAACAAAACCGTCGAGAGGTTTGAGAACGACACTCAGGAGTTGATGAGAAGAGCTGAGGTGGCCGAAACTGAGCTGGAAAAAGCCAAAGCCACGCACCAGGACGTGGTGGATGGCCTCGAGTCCAAGGTTCGCGACCTGGAGAGCCGTGAGTCAGCTGCTGGCGAGAGTGCAGATCCGACGGAGATCGAAGCTCAACAGAAAACGGTGGAGGAGCTCAAGCTCAGGGTTCAACAGCTGGAGAGTCGGAACCAAGCCCCTGACGGGGATGCCGATCTAGCTAAGATCAAAGATGAGCATCAGAAGACGGTGGATGCCCTCGAGCACAAGATCCAGAATCTGGAAGAGGACCACCGGAGGGAGTCGTCTGGACTCGAAAGACAAGTCCTGTCTCTGATGAGCGAGAACGAGGGACTGACGCGGGTTTTGTCGGGCACGGCAGTGCCCAGCGGGATCATGATCTCGCACCAGGGCACGCAGACTCACTACGCGCCGCCGGTCGAGAGCTCGACGCGGAACCCCGATTACCAACCGCCCAGTGAGAGGACTTTGGAGACGACACTAGGCAATCAAGGCCCCCCTCCTGAATTCAGAGTCATGCACCAGCGGTTCCTAGACACTTTCAAAAGTCTGATACGAAAGCAGTCAGCCACCGCTGACTTGCTTGATGACTTCTTCAAGAGGTTGTGCGACACACTTGGGAAGATGGAGCTACCAGAAAACCCCGACAAGTACGAGGTTGACCGCTTGGTAGAGCTCCGTGACGCCTTCAACGAAGCTCGTAATAAAATGTACGAACTGGGCTTGCAGAAAAGGCACTTTTTTGAGACCAACATTGAGAACTACCCGGACGAGTTGTACGAATTCGCGCAGAAAATTCACATGTACAAAGAAAGGCTCGAGTGGATCGAGATCAGGGCGGCCAACACGGCAGCTGACGAGGGAGCCAACAACGATGGCGACAGGAACAATACTGGCGGGAGTGATGGTGAGAATCAACCTCATCAGTCCGAGGGCAGTGACTGGGTGACTGCCAGCAGTAGCGAAACTCCTTCTGGCGGCGAGGGTGATGATAATTTTGATATAGACGGACCAGACCCTGGTGACAATCCAGAGAAACTCCGCAAAGCAATCACCGCATTGGAGAGGATGAGGGACGAGGCCGAGTCGACCCTAGAGCAAGAGGGGCGCATATTGCGCCGAAACATTGCTCATTACGGAGGGATTTTCAACCGGGTATACCAAGATCTAGGCAACCCGCGCGAGCCAGCCCGGCAGATCCGACGAGAACAGAGGGCCGTGGGACAGGCCGTCAGAAACCTAGCTGCTTCGGAGGCTACCGTCGCCGGGCCAAGCTCAGCCGCCGGAGTCCAGCCGAACGTCCCCGAACCCCCGCTGCCTCCGGATTCTTCACTCAACTGCCCGTCAGAGAACCTGGACAAGTGGAGAGGCAAGAAGAAGGCTTATAGGTTCCCCGACGACGGCGATCCAGGAAGTTCTGGCGACAGCACCGTCGATGGGGATATCGATGAGTACGCTTCACCCAAGCGGACTCCTTGGGAGGCACGCGTACATGCCATCCAGGAGATTTTGATGCAAACATATCGGGAACAACGGGCTTGCATATATGCTCGAAATGCCATCATAGAGGCCACGCAGAATCTGCAAGTTGCTGATGACCCCGTCCGTCACCAGCCAGGACCGGCGTCCTCCGGAGCTTCCGGAGTTCTTGCTCCTCCGCTCTCCAGCGCACCCGTGCATCCAGGAAACCCGGGCTCTTCCCTCGCGGGACCGTCGTCTGCTGCCACGCAGCCAGCCAGCCCGGACAGCCAAAACGACGAGTCCCAGCGAGCTTTCCAGAGCCACAACGCCTTTGACGATCTTGCAACCGAAATCTCCTCGCAGGCTTCAAGTGATTTCTTCAATTTCCTCACCACAGACCGAATCCTACCCTCCTACCTCCCGAGAAGCATCTGGGACCCCTTGAATGATTGGTCTATGTGTTGTGAGAATGTTCAAAGCAATCTTGAGCGTCTCAACTATGTCATCGAGGGCCTCATCCACGACGGCATCAACTCCCAGAACTACGAGTTCCTGCGCAGCAGGGCTCGACAGTTCAAGATCATGCTCGAAAAGGCCAATGCGACAATCGCTGCTCTCAAGGCGAGGGAGGTCAACGAGTTCGAGGGGCGGTCTGACAACGAGCTCGCGGAGGAGGCTCAGCGGCTCAAGAGAGAGAATAAGGAGTTGGAACGGAAGCTCGAAGATTTTAAACAGATAGCCGCGAAGCGACAAAACGACGAGAGGCTCAAACGGTTCGCTGCAGATGCCCGTGCATCAACTTCAGAGAAGATGAACGAAAATCTGAAAGACACTATCAGCAAGCTAGAAAGCGACCAGAAACAGGCCATCGATGACGGCGTGGACAAGGAGATCCGCGAGACGATGTACCACTACGAAGAGCAAAAGAAGGAGATTGAAAGGTCGAAGAGCGAGATCGCGAAGCTGGAGAAGAAGCTTGTCGAGGAGCGGTCGACGAAGAGCGCCATATTCGACGACACGGTCGATACCATCAAGGACCTGCAAGAAGAAATCCGCCAGCTGCGGAGAGCCAACGAAAAGTTGGTAGACAGAGGCAGGACGTTGGCGACCGACATGGAACGGGCTCTGGATGTGACGGCGGGTACATCGGGGACTGACGCACAAAAGTTGGCCCGGATGCGGCAGCGCATTACCAACGCTCTACACCTGGACGTTCCCGAATACCAAGAGGTCGAAGATTTCCCAATTGAGGCGGAGTCTGAGCGAGAACAGGAGTTTGTTGATGCAATGAAGGAGTACGAGAGGCAGTCGAAGAATCTGCGAGATCTGAACGATCGACAAATTCGCCAGCAAAAGCGAGATTTTGATGACCGACTGGCTAAACGAGACGCTTCTATGAAGCTTCAGCAGTCCAAGTTAAGAGAGATCTTGGCTTCGCAAAGGCAGCGACTCAGGTTGTGCGAGATGGAGTTGGAGGCCGAGAGGATGCAGCTCCAACATGCCAAGAAGAGGATGGCACTGATGGAGAAGCAGGTGCAGGAGCAAGCTCGTACTAATGTGGATTTGATGATTGATCAGGATGAGCAGAACTTGAAGGCTGCTGAAGAGGGAACATCTGGAGAGGAGCCTGTGCGGGATAAGAAGGGTAAGGGGAAGCAGCGCGCAGGCGCACCCGGTGGTGGTCCCGGTGGTGATCCCGACGACGACGACGACGACGACGACGACGGCGACGACGACGACGATGACGATGACGACAACCCCGTTAAGGATTCTAGCAGCGGCCCTGGTATCAAACCGGGCGGCGGTCCTCGAGAATACGGTAAGAAGCAGACAGGAAACGGCAGGACGTGTGGCTGTCCATGCCTTGGCGCCTGCGATTCATCAGGCAGACCGGTACCTGCTAGACAAGAAGTCATCGACGACCTCGTCAGGGTCTACGCCAAATACTTGCGCTGCTGTGGTCGTAAACCCAACCTCACGAGCACCGCAAGCCAAACGGACGCCGAACCCGCCTCCGGAACGGGGACGGTGGTGGTCCCCGAAGACGACGGCCTCCTCCTGGTGCGACTGGCCGGCCTCCTGCGCATGGACAGCGATACGAGAAATCGAATCGAGAACCCCCGCCTGAGCTACCTCGTGCGCCTCCTCCTCGCCTTCTGGAGCTGCATACGCATCCACGGCGTCGCGTGGAAGCAGATGATTTACTGGCTGGTCGCCGGGAACCTTTACTCGGCTGTCTACTACCTGCCCGGCAGGCGCTGGAGACCGGGCCCGCCAACGACTCCGTCGCCCAAGCTCGTGGCGCTGGCGATCAAGGACGCGATCATCTTGTACTGGTTCTACTACTTGTACCAGGCGCTCATGGCGACGTGGGCTGTGCAGAGGGTTTACGATATGGCCAACGGGTACACGAGGGCGTATTACATCGAGAGGGCTCTGCACCCGGAACGGTCCAGGTGGTGGGGTCTCGACGGGATTGATATGAGGCTTTCTGGGTTCTCTACGACGGAACCTCCTGTGCCCGTTACTACTGACGATGGGGCGGCGGGCATCAGGAGGGGACTTTGAGGTTTGGAGGAAAAAAGAATTGTGTGAAAGTTCGTGCCCGTGGAAGGCGCGGGAGGCGGAAGACGGGAGACGGGAGGGTATCCCGCGCAGGCGTCTTAGCGGGGGGATCTGTCAATAGACGGAGATTTTGGCAATAGGCAAAGACATGTGTGGTAGAAGCTTTTCGTCTGATGATGGGCAAACGATAAACGGTGTTGCGTATGCATGTCCGGGAAGTCTGCAGGGAGCAATTGTTCGGATCGTCGGTTTAGGGTTCTACGGAGTTCAACGGCGTTGGGAACTGTCTGTAACTTGTTAAATTTACTTACCTCATGTACTCCGTACCTATGAGAACATTGGTTCACTGGTTGTACGGATGGGTACTGTTTTGGGAAAGAGCTTGCAAAGAGATTCTGAGAAACATGACATCATTTAACAATTGACGATCCGTGTGTCCGCTCTTGACAAGGTCTTGACAGGAAACGAGAACGAAAGAGAAAGACTTGCGTGACAGACTGGCCGACAAGTGACCAGTGAGCCAGTGAAAAACTGACGATAGCCTCCGCTCAGCACTCCGACGCATGATTTGGAATTCAGGGAACCGGGCCCATGTCATGTCACTCACGTCCAGTTTCCAGTTCCGTCCCGGGACCCTGGGCCATAACAAAAAGAGAGAAGAAAAGATGGAAAGAAGCCGCACTTTACGGGGCGGAAAGAGGACTAGCGCCCCGGGCGCCCCACTACCCAGAAGATTCCCACTTTCGGTCTAGTCCGGCGTCTGTGCCTCGGCCCCGTACGCAAGTTTCCTGCACTTTTTTGCTCCAAAGCTCTGCAACGGGACGACTCGTCTCCCCGGTTCCCATAAAAAAGGAAGGGAATCGGAGTAAATGTTTCGCGGAACCGCAAGCGCGCCTGGCTTGCTGGCAGCTGGAGAACGTTTTGGATTACCAAGACAAGCAAGTTGAGTGAAGGAACTAGGAAGGAGGATCCCGTCACCCGGCCCGGCACTTGCTGCACCAGGCTACCAGCGGACCAGACCATCGAAATCCATTCGTTCGGGGCCTTGAACGGCGTCTACGATCCGCCGTCCCCGATTCTTATCTCGGCCGCGAGATACCCAGCAGAGTAATATCGAGCTCTTTTGGAATTGGAGCTTGGGGTTAGCTTAGCAAAAAGCACTACTATGCTATTGCAGATGGCTGCTGGCGACTGGCTTACTAACAGCGCGGCAGTGTTGGTAGCGTAGGGCGCAATGGAAGATGTCACTCTGATGCGGTTCCACCTCACACCACCCGGCCAGTGATGTCATGACTTGGGGGTGCCGCGCCCAGCGTCTGTCAGAGGGCTGTGGTGGGAAACAACGTTCTGACTGACAGCAACCTGCAGGAGCACCCGCCGCGGCTGGTCCGGAGACCCAACTGACCACCCATCGAACGCCAATTTGACATATTGATACTCAATCCAAATTACTGTGTAGAGACTTTTTGCAACAAGCAGAGACCGATCGTCAGTCAACATCAATTATACGTTGTGATTGAGAATCTACGGATACAGCAAGACATTCTCAGAAAGCGGAACAAAGACTGGCAGACAAAGGGCAAAGCTCGCCGCAACAAGAATAGAGAAGAAGCTCATAGGACAGCTGAGAAGAAAAAGCTCGGCCGACCCGAACAAGGCATTCAAATCTCATTTCCCATGCGCCGGTCACCCCATCGGATTCCATGAAACGTCTTCTCCCCGACTCAGCACCATTTCCCGACCACACCCGGGCGATTTCTCTCCTACGCGGAACTCATCCCAATCACCTATCAAACCGTTCCCAAGTTACCTCTTGAAAAATTGGCAAGCCCATTCATTTGCTGACGGCATCCCCCACTTCCGCGCCCTCCCACCTCCCAATTCTAGAACGTCGTCTCCCTCGGACTTGGACCCTTACCGTAAGGTACATACATTGTATTTGAAATGGTACGTGCTTTTTTAGCTCGTGAACTTGCCTCATCCCAGCAGCCCGCCGCCCGCCATTACCTCATATATAGTCGCCCGCCCTTCCTCACAGTGAGCTCATAACTCATAAAGAGCTTCAAGATCTGCCTACTCGCGCCTTGTCACGCACTTTCGCATTTCTAATCACGTTCCCCATACAGAGACTATCAAGATACCCGGCTATAACAGCCCACGTCCGCAACCTCAACCCCTCGCGCATTCATCGCAGAGCATTCACGGCAACTCATAACCCGCAAGCTAGATCCCAAGCGCAAGAATCAGCAGGAGGAACCTCATCCCACACCAACAACACCAATACCAGTTCGCAGTCACCAACCCAGGGCCAACACACCCTCGACTCACCAGAGCAACAACTCAAAGATAACCACACCAACCCCCTCAAATCCGCCAAAGACCAAATCCACAACCTCACAATGTCTTCAAAACTCATCCCCCAAAACCCGGCAGATGTCATGGTCATCCGTGACCTCACCCCAAACATCACGACCTTCTCCGTCCCCTTCTCCCGCTTCGGCACCCTTAAAATCGGCGGCCGCGCCACCCTAGTCCGCCTCACCTCAGGCTCCCTCGCCGTCTTCAGCCCCGTCGCCCTCACCGACGCCGTGAAAGCCAAAATCGCCGAAAAGGGCGGCAACCTCGCCTACATCATCGCCCCCGACATGGAGCACCACATCTTCATCTCCGAGTACAAGGCCGCCTACCCGCAGGCCAAGATCATCGGCCCCGACGGCCTGCCGCAGAAGCGCGCCAAGCAGACGGGCGACCCCAAGATCAACACCTCGGACGAGTTCTTCGTCGTCTTCAAGGACGGCGCCGAGAAGCGGAGCACCACAATCACCCCCGAGTTTGAGGCAGATTTCGAGTACGAGTACGTCGACGCCCACGCTAACAAGGAGCTCGTCTTCTACTTCAAGCCCGAGCGCGTCCTCATCCAGGCGGATTTGCTCTTCAACCTGCCCCCGCGGGAGCAGTACTCCAAGGCGCCCGAGGGCGAGCGCGATACTTCCTCTGGTTTCGGGAACAAGCTGTTTGGCGGCCTGCAGACTACCGAGGGCGACGTCAAGTGGGTGAAGCGTTTCCAGTGGTACGTAATGAGCAGCAAGGACAGGCCGAGCTTCAACGAGAGCATCCAGAGGATTGATGCGTGGGACTTTGATACGCTCATCCCCTGCCACGGAGACACCATCCAGGGCGATGGAAAGGAGAGGTTCAGAAAGGTGTTTGAGTGGCACCTGGCTGGTACCAAGAAATAGGGGAGCAATCGGTGTCTTCTCTCTCTTTGTAATGAGGACAGAGAGTGATGATTTCATGATTTGCATGACGGCGCTTGTGTTTACTTTAGCTCGATACCACGTTAGAATTTAATAACAAACATGTAACAGGAACAGTTCATCGAAAACTGGTGATGTAGATATTGTAAAAAGTAAAAAATAAACCCTCTGAAGACCTTAGTATTTGTTCGCTCGTTCACAGTCTGTGTAGTTTCTGCCTCTCTGCGTTTGAATCATGTTCATTGACGGCTGGATCTCGATCTGTAAGGCATCATGCCTATAGCTAGGAAGGTTGCAAACCTCGAATTACTTGTTCCCATCTTTATCTTTCTTCCCCTGACCTGTCAACCCTAATCATCACGAGAAACTTCAATGTGCCCTCTAGAGCCCAGCTTCTCCCTTCAGTGAACAGCCAGTGACGAACTGGAGTAGCCCTGTAATGTGATAATACTCAAGATGCGTTGCTTCGATTAGTTAGTGGCGGTTTGACAAGGAGAGAGATGGAATATATTACCTAGGCCCTGGCACAGAGTCGGCCCTGACAAGACACTTCTTTGGTAATGGCCTCGTGAGATATTTGGCGATCACGTCGTCCCGCACATGCTCACCCTTGGCCGACAGAGAGATTATGCCTTGGTGGCTACTGGACGCAACGTACTTGGCAGACCAATAGGCCATCAATTCTGCCAGTGTGTGGTGTCTTGAGATCGCATCCTTCACTTTCCCAGCGGAAACCTGACGTTTCGGATCAAGAAGCACGACGTAAGCGGCCTCGCTGATGATGTATGGCATGACAGATGTCTCACAAGTCGGGTGCGTGATAACCAAGTCAAGGATGCCTTCACCGGTGACACGGGTCTTGTTCTTGAAGGGCTTCAACTCGGCCATTGTTCGCTTCTCAATAGTGAGCATGGCTGTTTTTGCGTCGAGCCGATCGGCGAGGATCCAGAGTTCGACATGCAGAAGAAGATCAGCCTTGGGCACGTTCCATTCAGTAGTGCCCTTGTAGAAATAGTCGAGCAAGTGACGCATTAGGTCCGGTCTGACGTCTTCGAACTCGACGACACCGTCTCTGCTCTCCTGTTTCTCATGTCAGTTTCATTCGATTAAAATAACGGCAATATGGCGAGAATAACCTTGTTTTTACTGCGGAGCATGGTCTCAAAGTACTTGGAGTGCATGGCGAGTACTACCTTGTGGACTGGTATCTTTTCATCTTGACAGACGATTGTAAAATCCGACAACGTGCCAGTTTGCATCATCCATCGATTATCCTCTTCGGCCATTGTGCGAGTCTTTCTGGTTGGGTTGTCTGAGTAAAGATTGGTCTGGGGCGAGTGGGTGTGAAATATTGGCGTGATGAGAATCAAGTTTAGATGCGGAAGCGTCTTGCCGCAGAAGAATAGGCGAAAAGTAAGATGGGAACGGCCAATTGTTTTCCATGCGAAGAAGGAAATCCCGGAGGGCTGAATTTGCCCGGGCTACTGATGAGAAGGCAGGTACGACGGTTGAAGTGCGTAGGGAAAGAACGTGGGAGAATGGAGGCCAGGTCCTTGCCGTCTGACAAGACGTTACAACCGGGTACTTTATTAACGATTCAAGCTAAGGTACTCTGCAGCTGTTTTCATCATGATGAAGAGCCGAATAAACATGGTTGTCAATATTTCAATGCTTCAAGGTCAGGTCAATAGCGAGCAGCGCAGTTCATTGACTTACACGATCGCCGATATCTCAAGGACTAACTCACTTGGCGTTGCGGATTGACAACGCCAAACCTAGATAGGATCTTTGAATTCTTTCAGGGAGTTCTCTATCTGATCTACAGACAAGTAGATACCATGCGAGAGGGATGCCACATACATATTTATTGCATTGCGACGAGTTCTTAGTGACCTGTCTGATGCTCTGCAAGTTTACACTGCTCTCCCGCAACAAATCTCGACTCTCATCTGGCTCGGTTCAATTCACAATGCGTTTGGAAACTTTTCGCAGAGCCTTAGCGAAGGCTGCTTTACATGTCATGATCTTCGGCGCTGCACACGATGTATAAAGGTCGGGGAGAAGGGGGGGGGGGGTAAATCCCTTGCTGAAAGTCGCAATACTACATAAGCACCTATTTTGTTCGTCGTTCACTGTCCTCCTGTATATCCTGGTTGTGTATATCTAGGACCTGACGAAGCTGGTTTTATAGGAACCGCCGTGAGCACATCCAACCGGTCTTGTCGCAGAATTCGCGACTCGCTCCATCGTCCCTGAGAAGCTATCTCCTGGATTGGTGCATGTAGCATATCGTTCAGATATGCACACATTTCGATGCTACCCAATATCGTCGCAAAGCTAAAGCCTCCATTCTTGCAGGCTTCGTAGATAGACTCTCAGGCATCACGGCCAGTCGCTACCTTCCTACTCCTCGAGATTATTCTCCTCTCAATACACGGACAGTAACTAGAGCTGAGAACTGGACAAAGAAGGTGGTCGATAGAAGGACGCCTAGATCTCGCTACTAGATGTCTTTCAACTGCCGTGATAATTTCTGCAACGAAACCGAGTCTTCAGATGACCAGCCACCGCCCAAGATGGACAGCACGGCCTAATTGGATCGTCTTGCCAGCAATCAGCAAAAGATTCCAACCGACCATCATATACCAGCGCCCTAAGATATGACATGCAAACCAGCCTTGGCTACGGTACCGTGCCGCTCACCGAATACACCGACTCGTCAAAGGCCTGAGCACATTGCCACTCAGTTCTGATAAAAAATCACAACAATCGAGTCGTGCCAATATCTCACTCCTTCCCGCCAAGTAACTTTCATATCATATCCCGCTTACATGATGCTTGATTTTTCAAAGGTAGATGATACAAGAGGATTCTCCTCGATCAAACTTGATTCAGCACATGGACACATCATCACACATCACGCCAGCAGAGGAAGAAACACAATGTCAGTAAACATCCGGATCTTATTCTCCAACACGCTCATGCAATTACAAAGAGTTGAACATCAATCCAACCGCCCACGCACCATAGTATGCAACGTCAGACCCAAAGCTCACACGACATTGCGTAAGATAATCCCCCTCACACCGTGCCCCCCCATTCCTACCCTTCATCGTCGTCGCCTCACGTTCCTCACGTTCACGCGATACATGAGCATCTTTTGCATGGGAACAACTTCTTTCGAATTGTTCCGGCCAGCCGCTCGCCTGCCTCTCTCCTTAGATCCTCGCCCTTGACCCTTGCTCCCCCGAATCCTATCCTACCTCCTTGGCAGGCCCTTCCACATCCAAGCCTTTGTATGCGGACGAGCTGCTTTCCCAGTCGAACAAGAATCCTCATCCAAGTAGAAACAACAATGCAAAACAGAACCACGTATCGACGGCGAAGCAGGATTGCTGTCACCCCTTCTATATGAAACATCATCCCCGACATCGTCGGCCCCGGAGATTGGTGCCAGTTAGGTAGACCGCAACCCTCTCCATCGCCAAAAGGCTGCCACGGGCGTGGCTGAAAAAGAATTTCTTGAGTAAACCCACTCTGGTATCGATCTTTAAAACATGTTTTCCCTCGGAAGACGGATGAGAAACAGCCCACTCGTGGAGTGAAATCAAGGGATTTCGGATCTCCTGTTGCTCTTCCAAAAATCGATGGCTTCGACAACGTCCTCTCCCTTTTCGTCTTCATACGCAAAGATGATCTGTGAATTGTCAGTGAGATGCGTGATAAGCGGGAGACAAACAGCATTACCTCATGCGTGCTACTATGCAGCATCCGAATGTTCTTGTGTGGCACGATATGCACAGCACCATTCTCAATATTCCTGAGCTCGATGAAGTTCTGCTCGAACGCCAGAATCCACGGGTAGCTAAGAGCAAAGCTTCCCGGTGTACCCTCCCAGTCAATTCGCCATTCAGGTCTTGCGCGCCATCCATTACGATTGACGAAGAACGAGAATTCAGAGTAGTTGAGGAGGAACTCGCCGTTAAGGCGCTCGATGTGAATCGGCTTGACATTCTCCTTCCTCGCAACGAAGTCGAGACTCGTGTCTGCCTGGTCGAGCAATGATTGCGTCTCAAGGGTCTCAAGTGATACCACCTCAAATCCACGGGCACATGCCACACACAACTTCGACTTGAGGAAATGTACGGACGATGATTCCGTGGGAATGTAAAACTCCTTGAACGGCTTGAGCTCGTCTTGTCCAGCAAACATCTTGCCGAAGCCCTTTTGCTTCTTGCCCTTCGACATAGCATCGTTGGGTTCATACACCTTTATTGTAGTCGAGAGAGCTGAGGACTTAACGCAGCACACTAGATGTCTGCCAAGACAGATACCAGTCTTGAAGAAGTTACAGTGACTCTGGATTTTCTTGGGTCGCTTCGAAAGAGCAGGTTCGTTCGGGTCCAATGCTCCAAGTGGGTACGAATAAAGCGCCTTGTTGGATAGCACCAGAAGGAGGCCGTATTCCTCAAGAACGTCGAGCTGGGTGACGCTCGTCGTTTCAATGACGCGCTTGGGCATCGCATCTCTGCTCTTGCGATCAGAAAGGTAGATGCCATTGTCCGTGCCGTACAGCAGCTTGCGGCCACCATCATACGGCGTAACGCAGTTGACCTGGTTTGTGCCCACAAAGAAGCCTGTGGAGATGACGCTCGTGTTGAAGAAGTCGGCGCGAGCTCTCAAACGTTGCTGGGCGCTATCAATGAACTCGAGCCACTTCTTACGTGCAGCCTGGTTAGACGCGTAGAGCGTCAGTTCGTACCCGGCTTTGCCCAAGTGCCTGAATGTGATCGGCCAGCCTTCGCTCTTCTTGTTATCGTTTGTGTTGGCTCGAAGGGCGGGAAGCAAGCTCGACGAAGATCGCTTCATGGCACCGGAACCTGGAATAACCTCTTCCATTTCGCGGATAGCGAGCAGCTCCAAGGGAATTGGCCGCCTGTAGGCCTTGATTTCTTCGCCCTTACCAGCCTGCTTGATTCTCACCAGAAGGACCGCGTGGTCGAACAAGAAAGCAGTGATCTCAGACGCGTCTTGCGGTGTCTTCTTCAACTGACTCTTGAATACCAACTCTCTGCCTTCCTCCGTCAATCGCAGGTCCACCCTCTCGTTTGGCCGGAAGCGCAGTTGCTCATGAAGTCGCCTCAGATTGAATCTGTTCTCAGCCTTTCCTGACTCGGCGTTGACTCTCGTCAAGAGGTCGCGAATCAACTTGAGCACCTTGGGGATGTCTTCCTTGTCGGAGCTACCGTCCTCTGTGTATTTGAGCACGTTTTCCAGCAAAAGTGGGTAACGAGCCAAACGAGTCGTCGGCTTGGTGAGGTAACCATTGAGTTCCAGCTTGCGTGACTCTTTCCGCCGTTCAATCTCATCAACAAACTTGGCAAAGTAGGGATTGGCGGAACGTTCATTCTCAAATTCGAACTTGGCCTCCAATTGCTTGGAACCATACCAAATGAATGGCTCGAACTGAGGCACACACTCGAGGAAAATGTCGCCAATAGCGCCAACAACCGGGTTCTTCTGTTGCCGCTCTGTCAACATCTTGGCGAACTTTGCGCTCACGGCATGCAAACTTGGGTGATCGACAATATTGCTGAAAATTGCCTTGACAACCTTCTCCCTCTTGTTAGCAGGAATCGGAGAAGCCTTGGAGCGCAGAGGCAGGATCCAGAAGTCGCGAAGATATTCCAAGTCCTTCACGAAATCTCGTTCTGTGTAGCAGATCTCTGAAATGACTTCCTGCCTCTTCTTCTCCCTGTCGCCGATGCTGTCGGCCACTTCCTTCGGAACGGAGTTGATCCAAAGCTTCTGTTCATCGGTCTGGTCGACATCGTCTTCATTCGAGACGTTCTCAGACTCCTTCTTCAGGCCAGGCTGGATCTTCAGGTTCAGCCGAGATACCTGCTCCAGTCTGCGAGGGCACGCAATAGAGTAGCAGAGCTGATCTCTTGTACAAGTCGGCGAGTAACACTCGGAAAGGAGCACAAAGACACCATCGACCGCAGGTCTCTCTTCCGTTTCTTCCATCAGAGTTTCTCGGAATTGGTACATTTCTGACGTGGAGTCTCGCAAGCGGTGTTCGTAGGTGACGTCGTGGAAGAACTTTTGGGCATCTAGAGCTCGTCCCAACAGCAGCGCCAAATTCCTGTCTGTCGTCCTAATAATGTACGACAAGACATCCACAGCTTCGGCACCACTGAAGGCGTTCTTATACGTGAGCTCGTTCTTTGTGCGGTCGCCCGTGATGATCTTTTGCCGGAAGCAGTCGGCCACTCGCGATAGCAGG